TGGATTAGGGGGATTGTGTGTTGTAAATGAAAGTGTGTGCCATTAATTGAATTATCAAGCATGGATTGCCAAGTAAGCATACATTATCTAGTCAATCTAGTGAGTAGCACAAAATATCAAATTAAGCCATTAATCCTTCCATAAGTCCACAATTAATGCACATTCATTAAATTAGAGAAATATACTACTTGCACTCATAACCATGAGACATTAAATAACAAGCATGGATTGCGCACCTATCTAAGAAAGTAAGGCAATTACACTACAACTAAGCTAGTGATATCAAAACTAAACTGATTAAACTAAGGAAGTGACATAATCCATCAAGAAATAAGTATGAACTATCAAATAAACCACAAGATTAATCTATTTAAGCACCATGCCTTGACCATCACTGGATTCATAATATTAACACACATAGACATGCATCAATGCCACAAAATCTAGAGATAAACACATAAACATTCATTCTAGCATACATAGACATATGGATAGAATTAAATAATCAATTGAAAGTATTAAACTACACAAATCATTGTAGAAACAAGATTTATATATACAAGATGTCAAGACAAGAATTACAACACAAATCCCCATTAATTACAAATCATCAAAGTCTAGGAGGCATGCTTAGGGCTATCTCTAGCCCCAAAAGAATGGTTTAGCCACTCATTGATGTTGTCATCCAACCCTCAAGGGCTATCTCCATGGTAGAAATCATCCTCCTCCTCTTTCTGTTCTTGATAGAAACCCTAGATAAGTGGAAGAACTTTCCCAAATGGTGTATTTCTCTCTCTAATCTGTAGCCTCTTGTCAAAACCTAATCAACCTCTATGCTCTCCTACTAAAAATAGCCCAAAATCCTTATATAAGTAGCTCAAATGTCACACCTAATGGTAAAACCTCGTGCACTAGGACCTCCAAATGATTGCACCATGAGCACATCTTTAATTTGGCTGGAACTCTGTTTTTCACGCAATTTAAGGTAGTTCGATCGATCACAAGGTTGCTTGGATCGATCGAACCATGGCCGCGCACTTTTTGATTAAGGACAAGGCTGAGATATTTTTGGGATATTTTTGGGAAAAGGACAAAGTGGTAAGTGAGGATAAAATCAAAACTGTTCAATCGATCGAAGGAAAGGTTGGATCGATCGAATAAGAAATTTTCCTGAAGATAAAGACAAAAGGCTCGATCCATCATGGCATGGTTGGAATGAGCACAGTGTGATAGATCGGAGCTTGATTCGATCGATCGAAGAAGGCTTCTTCACCATTTTACTCCTTTCTTCCACTAGGCTTGAGATTGCCTCTTTTAATGCTCTAATTCAACTGAATTGACTTATTTTGGAGATAAGTGCCAGAAAAGGGAAATAACATGAAATTAGACTAAAATGGGAAAATAAGATAGAATAAGGTCATAGAACATTCAAGCTTAAGGGGTTTAATGCGCACTTTTCAGCGCTTATCAGGAAACTTTTGTATTCCAAACTTTTAGGTCAAAGGTGAGTGGAAGGGGACTAAACTCAAGGTTTAAAGCCTAGGTTAAGCTTTCCTTCAATGGTGGCTAAGAGGTTTTGTGAGGAAGAAGCAAAGTTAGTGGAAAATGTGTATTTCTCCACTAACTAAAGGTTGTTGGTCAAATACACACACACATAAACTACCTCTCTCACACACACAAAATGTAAGACAAAGTTTAGAGCCTACACTTGTCACAATCCTAAGCATCCATCCTAGGCTTAATCTTAAGCCTACACTTGTTAACCATCCAAGCCAATAAATGCACCTATCCTAGGTCAACAAGTGGGTGAATCCTCACCCTCCACATGTCATCACCCAAGGCCCCCAAGTGTGAACCAATGAGATGCCTATAAGTGGACCAATGAGAGTGTGACACTTGTCACACTTTCCGGAAATTGCAAAAACGTCATTTTCCAAAATATCTTCCAAATTAAATTGCAAAATGGTCCCTAAGACAAATTATTATTACAAAATTTAATTACACTAAAATCCCAAAAATCAAGAATGTTTCCGAAGATACTATGCATTCATGCTCTTTATTAAAAAGTAAGCAACTAGCATACTTTTCTACAAAAGTAAAAATACACATATTATTGAAATTAAATATAATGGATGCATGCAAAGTCAGAACCAAATCCAAGCACAAAAAGTGAGGTTACGCAAAGAATACCGAAACCGGGAAAAAGACAAAAAATGAAAAATGTCAAAAAAAAAAAAAGAAGTGTGAAAATGACGCGGTCCTCACAAGGACGTTGTCAATCCAAAAGAGAGTCTCGAAAACTATTCCCGAGTACTCGAAACAACACAAAGTAACAAAAACCCAAACTCGGAAAGGAAAAAATCAACGGAAAAAAAAAATAAAATAAAATAAAAAATTGAGAAAATGGTAAGGAAGGAAAATGACTGGGTCATTACATGTTGCCTTCTCTGAACAGCGCGATTACCATCACTAATAAGAGTAATCCTTTCCGTCGCATCATTAATAAAGTCAAGAACTGATAATATGATTTTCACTCCAACTTCAAGCCAACAACCAAGAGGTCTGCAAAGTCTATTATACATAACCTCAAACATTCCTTTCCAGTAGTCTTTTGTTAATCGTTGCCACAGATAAACTCCAAAAAGAGACGTAAATACTTCCAAGTGTCATACAAAATCTAGGATATAACTTGAAGCATATCCTCCAAGACCTGATTAATTCTCTCGATCGGTCCCTCCCTTTAAGGATATGAAGCACTGCGAAATACATTCCGCACCCAAAATCTTCGAGAAACTTTTCTGAACTAGAAACTCTTATCCACTGTAATGGATAATGACATAGTATAGCACATTGCCACCTCCGCAATGTAGAGCTAATATAAAGCTCTAAAGTAAACATTACTCGCACAAATGTCAACAAGTGAACTTGATTAATTCATCACTCATGACCCATATGTAAATATATTTCTTATCCGACGTTGATAATTTTCTTCATATCATCCACGCATGTTTGTTCCAATTTCCATTCCGATGTAGGAGGTGGCTACAAAAATCTCAATGATCTCTGATGATTAATGTTCACCCCTCTATCAGATAATACTCTTAGAGACAATTATGAGAGTGTCCCTACCCGTACCCGTGCACCAAAATTAACGTTTGATATCTTGATGTACCTTGTAACCTTCTAGGTGCATCGAAAATCATAAACTATACAACCTAGTCACCCGTACCTCCATAACATCATTTACAGAACCTACCAATCGTCCCCCGATACTCTAAACTTTTATCTGAGTAAAGTAACACACTTTCCTTAGCCAGCTCCAAAATTTTAAGTCAACCTCCCTAATTTCCTTGATAGTAGTAGGTGTCATTATTACACATGCTATAAACGCAATCGGTAACTCAACAACTGACCGAACGATTAATCCTTGTATTGGTTGTTCAGAGTATTTACTTCCACATTCGCTTCCACATAGTGATACTTGATGAAAAGTGTGAATCTTTCACCATTTCCATCCATCTATGTTGTCTCGTAAACAGTTCCATTTGTTTGAACTTAGTGTCTGAACTATAGTAGACACTAAACTACCTGGAAGCTTTCTTAAAAGAAACACTTCTCCTTACGTAAGGTGATACCACTACTGCGAGCTCTAAAATCGTTAGTTCATTAAGCTTGTAAATTATAAGATTACAATATAATGGACAATGATATGCCCTGTACCTTTACAATCTCTACAATGTAAAGCTTCGCCAATTGTTCTGAAAGTGATAATGGTGTAGATAAGCAAGAAATAAGCTGATTTAATCAATCAACTAACCAATAACCCAAATGGAATTATGACCCTGGCGCGTAGTCGGAAATCCCTCAACAAAATTCATCGAAATGCTCTCTCATTTCCACTTCGGTATAGGAAATAGCTGCAAAGAATCTAGCAGTCTCTGACAATCAATTTTGACCATTTTGTATATACTACATTTGGAGACAAAAATAGCTATGTCCCTTTTTATGTCTGCCTGCCAAAACTGCCACTTCACAACTTGATGCATCATATCTCCACCTGGACAAATAAAGAACTGGGAGTTGTGAGTCTCAGTCATCACATCCTCCCTCAAATCGTCTGCAAGAGATCCCACTAGTCGTCCCTTGTACCGCAAGCTTCCGTCTGCTCCCACTGTATAAATTGGAGTATCTTCAAAAGCTAACTCTGCAACTGTTTCCATGCACTGTTGATTTATAACAGGCTTACTGATAATAAAATCAACTCATACGTCAACTCATCAAAAGTCAGCTAACTACGGTCCTTCCTTACACACCGTGCACCCCCTTTTTGTCATATAAGTGATCGGTCTCAAAATCTTGTCTTTGACACATCCTATTTCTTTAACACAAGTACCAATTGGATTTCTTATCTAACTTAAAAAAGAATATGGAACCTCTCCATCCATCAAATAAGTCAACAATCCCTAGCAACATGTAATTGTGAAAATTAGACCAATCTCTAAAGTTTTTTAAAAAGGGACCAATATCAAAAGTTCAAAACCTATATAAAATGATGGAATTTAAGTTTTTTTTTTTTAAAAAAAAAAAAAAAACCAATAAAAAAAATGCGATTAACTAATGCATTTTGACAAATGAAATTGTGAATTGTACAATAAGCAGTTGCCATGAGTACCTAGCCAACTTATAAGAAGGCATAAGCTTTAAAATGGAAAAACAAGCCTTCAAAAATGTCAAGCAATGTTCAATGGCACTTTGAAGTGATGAATGACAATAACTAAACAACTCGTGACCACACAGTTGCCGATTGCTACCCCTATTGTCTTGTAGAAGATATGGAGGGAGAAATTAGAAATTCTTTCGTGCATAGGTAACGAGAACCAACTACATAATATTTCCGTACAAATTATTACTTAAATTTTATTAGGGTAATCATATTTAAAGTTTATTAGGGTAATCATTTATAATATGCTACTTGTAAGTTAAAAAGACACAAGTAATGGTACTCAGTGCAACAACTTTTGTAATTGTATCAATAAGAACTCTAGAATCATTTGTTGTACACTCCCAACTCAAGTAAACAAGAGTAAAAATCATATCAAATAACAAAACACGCAACATTTTGCGCGGGGAGGAAAAAAAAATAAGTACTCAGATCAAATACCAATACATCTTCAAAGCCCAAAACACAAACAGATAATTATTAGAGAAAATTTTACAAACACAGCATCATATTCTTGGGGAACTTCACATGTGCAACGATGCAGCATGTATATATATATATATATATAACTAGCACTGAGTTCCAGCTTCTCACACCTATTTATTCACTATCCTCATCGCTTTCCTCCAAGTTCAAATGATTTAAATTCTTTTCAAGAGGCGGAAGTCCGTCTTCAGAATCATAACAGGAGCCTTCATCTCCACTTTGAGATACCACGTCTGCTCCTGGAGCAGCCAAAAAAAAAAGGTGAGCATATTGTTAGGTTACTATAACCTAAAACCTCTTTTGAATTGCTTACAGTGACCATCTTGATTTTTCAGACAAGATATTATCATTGAACAACCATCTCGTGTCCTCATTAATTTAGAGAAAAGCATGAGCTAGATTATGTCAGTTTCGTAAGGGGTACATGGATATATGAGCATGATAAATAACATGTAAGATAGAGCCATGACTGCTGTGAAGCCTGTACATTGATGTGTTGAGTATGGGTGTCATGACTAATCCTATAAAAGAAAAGGTTCATTAAATCATCCTATTGACTTAATATGCCACCAATGACCATACGACCAAGTGAAGCTAAACACAAAGATGCTTTAAAATAAAAAAAGGTTCAACCAAAAACTGGATTTAGAGTGCAGAGATGTACACTTAATAAGGCAAGTATTAAAAGGAGAGCAATTAAAAGTGATGGCCAGGATATGCCCAAGAATAATTGTTCAGTAATCGATGTTTAATTATCTAAAAGGAGAATGGGATAATGATGTCAACATAGATTAAAGCAGGAAAAATAAGGGTGTATTTATGGAAGGGCACCAACATATTTGAAGGAAAAAAAGATAAAAATCAGACAGTCTGCAAACTAGTTATGCTTTACAATACCAAATGGTGGGCGAGCAACATGTTCATCATTCTGCTAAGATGGGTAAGTAGAAAGACAATAAGGGGGTTGTAAAACTGAATGTATCATGAGTAGGTAGCAAATTAAAAAAGTTGGTACAGATGGTTCAATGTGTTTTGAGGGCCAATAACCATCCACAATAATGAACAATACAGTTGAGTTTAGGTGATGCAGATAACGGGGAGAACTAAAAGCCAGTGGCTTGATTGAGGTTGGACAGAAAGATATTTAAATAAACAATTTGTCAAAAAAGAAAAGGTTCTCAAAGAAGCATAATGATAGAATTGAACTAAAGCAACAACAAGAAACTGTTGAATCACAAATTGTTGTCTTAAGGTACCAGTGTAGCTCACAGGGTTTGAATAAGAGGATCATATAACCTGTTGGTAGGGTAATGTGCTGAATATAAAAAGTGTGACGTTTTTACCGCAAGTGATTAGGCAACATATATTTTTACCTTTGTGGGAACTTATAAAATGGCCTTTTTGGGAAATGTAAAGGAAAATTTTCTTGAGCAAAATAGAACAGTACCTTCTGTGAGTGGTGGAACCTCTGGGACCCGCTGGCGTTGTTGGGAAAGCCAAGCATTTTGAACCGAAATAATGTCAGCACTATTTTCACATTCAGAGTATACCTTTAGAAGTTCCCTGCATTTGTCAAATATGCCAACAGTCAAAACGATGAAAGAGTTGAAAGAACATATATAGCTAATAATTATATTGGGAAGGGAAGCATTTGGACCTTATGAATCACACAAAGTTCACACATCATTTTAAATGAATCCATTGTGTCCTTAAAAGCAATTGAAATCTATAATGCACATTGCTTACAGATTATAGTTTAAAAATCACAATATATATCAATTTCATTTTGTGGTAACATTTTCCTGCAGCAAGTTTGTTTTATAATGGTTCTATTCTAAATAATGAATTTGTGCCTTCAGATCTTACAGGACACAACAGAATTATATCATCTCCATTTATAAGCATATTAATCAAATCATCCACCAAGTGACACACTCGAGGAGGACCGAAACCCATGACAAAAATCATAATAAAAAGAAAAACATGTCAACCATACCCAAAGTCCCAATCGATCTTCTCTATTTCAGTCTACTGGATGGTTGACAAATATTTTAAAAGAATGTATTTGTACACGAGTGCAGGCATAAGCACACAGATGTGCACAAGCACATGCAAACACAAACACAATCAACAAATCTGAGGTCCAGGCAGAATATATATTTTTTGCAACATTAACTTTATGCTGTAAGAAAAAAGTAGAAAGTACCTGTTGAGGGACAGGAAAGCATGACCCCACTTGAACTTGCCTAGTAATAAATTTGCAGTTTCCTTCTCCCCACTGTTAAATCATATGATAGAAATGTAAAACTAACAATGAATTGCTCGATAGATTACTTAATCAACTCTTGCCAACAAGTTTAACAGAACTGAATATAACATAGAAGTGAATGTGACCACACATATTAGGTCAATTACACATCCAAATTAGTTGTATTGCCTGTGTAAGATACTAGGGGATTATTCTTGCTAGAGGTTGAAGGTCAGAAATGGTAGAGGATTAAAATGATAACCGTTGGTCCGTCAAAGAATGCAAACTATGTTAAATATGCTGATAATGATAATATGCAAAAAAGTGTGATCCATTAATCCACATTATATGTTAAACTGGATTTGGGTTCAGATGTCAGTGGCAGATTGTCCAGTCACAAAATTTCACGACATGGGGACTGACTGGATTTTTAAAGTTCTGCTATCTTCTTTCCAGACTTTGGTTGATACAACATAGAGCAAAAATAGAAAGATATTTGGAGTGGAAGAACAGCAATTTCTAAGAAACCAAATAATTCAAAGAGTGTCTATAGTGATTATGTATATACATTTGAAGTTACTGTTTGCATATATACAAATATAAATTTATCTCGTAGAACTTGTAGAGAAGGGATGGTGTCATTCCATCCTTTGGTTGGTCGAGTAGAAGGAAGAGGAGTGGACACCTTTCATTGTTCGGTAAGAGGGAAGGGACGGAGTAGTTTTATAACTTTTTGCTATTACACCCTCATTGTCCAAAACAATACAACACATTGAAGGGTAATAATGTCAAGCTACATTATATATAACAGTTGTCCTTCTCTTTCATCCTCTTTTCCGTCCAATTTTGGATGGATAAAAATTGTGGGCTAGGACGGATGCCCCATCCATCCTTTCTCTCTGACTCTCCCTTGTACCAAAGAATGGAGACATACTCCATCCTTTTCCTTCCCTTCCTCCTCTTCCTTTCATCCTACCAAACAAGGCATTAATGTTGGAAGTGGGTTATGCTAGAGAGTTGTATTTTATATACTTTTCTATATTTGTTAGGGGTAAGTTTGTCTTTTTCCTTTCTTTTAGTTAGTCAGCCTTTAGGGCATATTTATTAAATTATTATTTTGTTCTTGTGTAATGACTTACGATTGAATATACAGAGGATCATCTTCTCTCTTCTATTTCACTGTGCAAACCTTCCATTGCAAATGTATCAGGTTCAACCCTTCAGTACAGCAGAATCAACATCTTTAATTTAAAACTCCAAGAGTTAAAGATTAACGCCAAAAGCAGTCAAAAAAGAAAATTTTGACCATGGAAGACATGGGTACATGAGGTCAACGTGCAACCAAACAAGCCGTAAGTCAAATTCACGGTTGACTAGGAACTTGCCAATTTTTGCAGAATTTGATCTGAGCCAACTAATCCACAGATTAGGAGCAAATCCATCACCCACTTTGATGGATTAGGCATTCCATATTTCATAACTTTTAGTGAAAAGTTTTACAATTGGAAGAAAGGGCTTGACCCGTGTACATGAGTATAAAGGAACCAGAAGCCGGACTCCTATAAAGCTCAACACACTTAAAATAAGAACAAAAACATGTAAAGAATCTGAGACATGGCCATATATTTAAAAAATGAAAAGCATCAAGTATTGATACAACTCCATATCCTCAAAAGTATTCCTCTCCAGCAAAACACTCCACATAAGACATAAATGTGTATCCCATCAAACGTGACAAACTCTACTGTTACAGCAACGTGTGGCCCACGGCCGAAACCAAGGTATGACCTTAGTACACACCGGACAAAGATAAAACACACACCACAAATCTCACACTGCCTCAACATGAAGGATGAGATGATGAGTGTTCTCCTCAACCCTCTTGTAAATGCAGCATCAAGTAGGGGTGAACTTTTCTCTCCTACCCAAATTTTCCAAAATTCAGGATTACCTCCAAGGAAGGCAGTAATCCGAACAAAGAAAGGTACTTCACAAGGTACCTCAAAATTCTAAATACCTTTTTAAGGGAACCTGAATCTACCTACCACACAAAGCATTCTACAAAATGATCAAAATCCAACTGTTCCATGTTCCAAATATTCCACGTTCGTCAGAATTTCAAATCAAAGCATCCTCTGTGACCCAGACAAACAAGAAAAACTAGAAAGGGTCCAAAGAAGAATTCTGAATGACCTCTGCGCTTGCACCACTCCATTCTCTGAGAATCGGACATAATTAGAACAAGCGTTCCTTAATTCAAAAATTCTGTAAAGTTCCACAAATATTACCTTAACGTCAATATCCCCGCACAAGAATCACGATCCTCCTTGACCATCGCCCATCATAGAACTAACTTATTTGGAGTACCTCCACCATTTTCTCATGTTCTTCCAAAGCCCAACCTCATATGAAGCTTGTAACCTCCATAAAGGTCCATCCCCAAGATTGTCCCCAAATTTTCCCTCCACTACATTCCTCTGTATACTGTCAGATTCCACCACGTCTTCACAGCCTTTTTTACTTTGGTTGAACTGCAGAAAAGACCTCACTCCAATCCTTCCAGAATTGTCTTCCATGCCATGAGATGGTACTTGAACTCCTCCATAACAAGGATCAGTAGTGACTCAGATCTGATCCAGCAATAAACTATTAATGGAATAAACCCATTAATCAAAAGGCGCTAATTCGAATCAAAGGTTAACAATCGTCCATCCCGTTCAAAGGATATATTCAACAAGGAATTTTACAGAATAAATGAAGTAGATAATTAGAAACAAATCTTGATAATGTAGTCTTATTAAATATTGACCATAATAAATTATATAAATATAAATATGTACTATTTATACACTTGTATAATATGTATATATTTACTACATGAAGGAATATTGTCAAATCAGATCATGATTAGTTAATAATTAATAAAATAATAGGATTAAACATAACAGACCACAAGTCTCTCGCCAAATCTGGATTATAGTAGAATCCGATCCATTGGCAAACCCAATCATACCAACACATAAGAAATATGTCTAAATCTTCTCGAACCTTTTAACAACCAAGGCTAGTATAGTTATTATAGACATGAAGTATGTGAAACATTATTAAATGAATATATTTGAAACATTCATGATTCATGTAGCATAGAAATATATTAAGCAATAATCTTTGTAACTTTCAAAAACCAAGGAATCCACTTCTCTTTCTTTTGTAAGAGACGCCCGTTGGGCAAGTGTCAGCCAATAGAGGTATATTATATTTCATAGCCATTATCATGTCATGGTGTGTTCATTTTGTCATGTCAGGTCAAACAAAGGTTTTTCTCTATATCTTGAAGTGTCCACAAATGGGGTCCAGCATCTGAATGCTTGCCTCAACAACAAAAGATTATTTCTCAAAGAGATATTTACCTAAATACTACATATCAGTTAGCACCCAAATAAAAGAAAATCAACTCATGGAAGAGCATAAATTTTGGTACCATATTAATAAAGCTGCAGATAACGCCTCAACACAAGATAGTTGACATGGTCGACCATAATTTACGGGATTTGCTGCTACCAACCATGGTACTGAAATTCCAGATAATTTGTTAATTTTAGACACAAAATCTGGGAAAGAACACAAAATAACAATTCCACACATGATCATGAATAAAGTAAGCATAATAATCACCAACACAAGATTCAATATTTTACATTTATCACCTCTCTAGTCTGAAGTACCAATGTTTCTACAAGGAGTTGTATCACTATTGCATACGTATTGGAGGGTAATACATCTTGGGTGCATGTGAATACGTGTCCGATACTTCTATTGATTCTTTTGTTTTCAAACATGATCTGATACATACTACATGACCTTCTGACACACATCTTGAACGTTAAAATACATTATTTCAAGTAAAGTAATTGTTAGAGAAGTAATTCAAAACTTGGACTTTCTTTAAAAATAAGAATGGGATATAATGAGAATATACGATATCTAATTAAGTCCAAAAACAATGTCCATGCAACATAACTCTCAGCCTTTTCATGTGACTTTTAATATCATAAGTTGTAAATTAGAAATACATAATATTTGATAGATTTATAAAAGTACTTGTTTACCATAATTTTTTATCAGTGAATGTTAACCATAAGAGATGTATTTATGACAAAATAATGACTACTTTTAAGGTATGCATAGATACATATATATATTTTACTTCTTATACATATGTACATACATACAAAATATACACACATGCATACTTCTTTGCATCCCTACCATATTTGTATCAATTTTTTTCCTAAAAAAAAATTTATCATATCATTGTTTTGGATCATATTGTATTTGTATCTCGTATATGTGTCCATGTTTCATAGTCAAGACCTATATGATGTCGTATCCAGCCGCAAACCATCTTATCAGCTATGGACCTTTGTGTTCAAGAAGGGATATATATATATCTTGTATATGAGTTTATAATTACAAGTATATATAAATGTTATCATAGATAAGGGCATGAACACTTCAGAGCCACTCTTCATCTCATTGTATTTCTGAATTTGCGACTCCCGCTCCTGCACTCGCTCTAACCCTTACATTCTGGTATCCTAAAGATACACAGTTCCATGTCCTAATTAATGTAATTTTGATATCATTATCTTCTTCTTTTTTTTGATAAGTAAAAATGTATTAGAAAGCGTTTAAAAGGGGAATGCGTCCCAAGAGCTGTACAAAAACGAAGAAAAGAAAATGAGATCTATGGACCCAACGACCCAAAAAAGTCCATAATCTCATCCAAATAATTACAATCTCTCCCCATACCCCAACTAAAAAGAGACCAAAGAATAGCGAACTTCAGATCCCCAATGGAGGTCCCCTCCCCATCAAAAGATCTTCGATTGCGTTCTTTCCAAAGACTCCACCAAATACAAAAGGGAATCACCCTCCAAAAATTACGGGCACGCGCTCCCACCCTTTGGCCCCTCCAACCATCAATCAAATCCCTTGAAGTCCAGGGCATAACCCACTGAACACCAAAGAGACACAACAAAAGGCTCCAGCAATCATGAGCAAGAGAAGATGATCCACAGACTCTCCATCATTCATACACAAACAACACCGGTTAACGATAACATGTCGTCTCTTCCTCAAGTTGTCCAGAGTCAAGATCTTGCCCCAAATAGCAGTCCACACAAAGAAAGCCACCCTAAGAGTAGCCTTCGAGCGCCAAACCGTTTTCCACGGGAAGGTGGAGCCACGAAAACCTAAAAGCTGGTGAAAAAAGGACCGAACTTGGAACGTCCCCTGAGGAGAAAGCGTCCAAGTCAAGGAGTCTGACCCTGTGCCATCCACTTCCTGTCTATACATAAGATCCAACAAACCAATGACATCATCCAACTCCCAATCCTGAAAGGATCGCCGGAACTGTACATCCCAAGACAACCTACCGCTATCAAGGCGATAGCAGTCAGCAACCATAGCATGTCTATTAACAGCAATCCTGAACAACCTCGGGTACAGACAAGACAAAAGACGGTCCTCGCACCAAGCATCCTCCCAAAACCGGATATCCCTTCCTTCCCGGACTCTGAATCTAATGTGCTTTGAGAACTCATCCCAACCTCTCCCAATGGATTTCCAAACCCCCACATCGACAACGATTTGACCAGTCCCTCTCCTCCCCAAACCGACAAGAAATAGCCTTTCTCCATAACCTATGTCGTTCACTGCTGAATCTCCAAAGCCACTTGCCTAGGAGGGCCCTGGTAAAAGGGGCCAATCTCCTAATCCCTAGGCCTCCCAACTTGAAAGGCCTGCAAACCTACTCCCATCGAACAACATGATACTTAAACTCCTCTCCTCTACCGCCCCACAAAAATTCCACTGAAGCATCTCAAGTCTTCCAAGAACAGCAGAGGGAAATAAGTTGGAAGGCTAGATAAAGTGCTCTTCACCAGAGTAACTTTTCCCCCCTTCGAAAGGTATTGCTTCTTCCACCCCGCCAGCCTTCTCTCGAAACGCTCAGTCACTGAGTCCCAGCTTCCCCCCCACCTCCTGAAAATCCCCCACAGATACAATCACGCTCTTTCCCACGCTGACTTTTAGCCCAGAGACTACCTGAAAGCAAACAAGGACACATTGCAAATATCTCAACTGGGGCACCTCAGCCTCACAAAAAACCAGAGTGTCGTCCGAGAAGAGCAAATGAGAAATTTCCAACTGATAAGATGCGTCTGAACCAATCTTGAAGCCCCGTATGAACCCCAAGTCCACAGCCCTCCTCATCAACCTACTAAGAGCCTCCATAACAATAATGAACAGGAAAAAAGAGAGAGGGTCCCCTTGCCTCAAACCACAAGAGCTGCCAAAAAGCCCGGATGGAGACCCATTAACCAACACCGAGAATCTGACAGATGAGACACAAGTTTCAATCCATCGCCTCCATTTCTCTCCGAAACCCATCCTCTCTAACAGATAAAACAAAAAGTTCCAGGAAACATGATCATAGGCTTTCTCGATGTCCAGCTTGCACAAAACTCCAGGAATCCCGTTACTGAGCTAAAATCCACACATTCACTGGCAATAAAGACAGAATCAAGGATCTGTCTACCCCCAATGAACGCATTCTGAGAATCAGAAATAACACAGTCCATAACTTCCCTCAATCGTAGCATAAGGACTTTAGCGATCAGCTTATACATACACCCAATCAGACTAATGGGTCTAAAGTCCTTTACATCAGTTGCTCCTCCCTTCTTGGGGATAAGGGCAATAAAAGAAGTATTCAACGACTTTTCGAACCTCCCATTACAATGGAACTCATGAAAAGTGCCCATAACCTCCAGTCGAACCACCTCCCAACTCTCCAGAAGGAACCTCATAGTGAAACCATCCGGACCTGGAGCCTTGTCGCCATTACAAATCCTCAACGCCAAAAGAACTTCCTCCTCCGTAAAGGGTCTCTCAAGTCCTTCCTTATCCTCCACTAAAATAAAATCAAAATGAAGACCATCAAGACGTGGCCTCCAATGAAGAGGCTCAGTGTACAACCTCTGATAGAAAGAAACGACCCCAGTACGCACTTACTCCTCAAACTCAACATTGTTCCGTTCACACTACATCCACCCAATGTGGTTGCCCCTCCTATGGGCATTAGCGGTACGATGAAAGAACTTAGTATTACTGTCACCCTCTTTGAGCCACAAGGCCCGAGACTTTTGTCGCCACGAGATTTCCTCCAAAACCGCAATTTCGCCACATTCTGCCTGACAAGTTGCTCTCCTATTACGTTGAGACTCAACAAGACCACTCACTACTTCCAATCTGTCTAACTCTGCAATGTCAGCGAGGGCTCTATTCGTCCTCCATTCCAGATTATCAAACACCTCCTTATTCCATTTTTTGAGCTTATCTTTTAGAAGGCAAAGCTTCCCTGCTAAAATGAAGCTCGAAGTTCCCACAACCATATCCTCCTCCCACCAAGACCGCACCAACCCCTAAAAATCCACCACTCTAAGCCACATATTCTCAAATCTTAAGGGGGTACGACATGGACTCAACCTTCCACAGTCCAATACCAAAGGAATGTGATCTAACGTAACCCTAGCCAGAGCGACCTAAACAGCATCCGGAAACTTCTCCTCCCATTCTCTAGAGATCAAAAATCTATCCAAGCGGGAAAAAGTAGGCATCTACCTCCCACTGGGCCAAGTAAAAGCAGCACCCTCTAACGGAAGATCAATAAGCTGATGAACATCAACAAACTCCGAAAAAAGAATCATAGCCGAAGTCCATGACCCCAGTAGATCTCTCCGACGGGGATCTCACCACATTAAAGTCTCCTGCCACGCACCAAGGAAGAGGCCACCTCCCCTTCACCCCACTAAGCTCCTCCCACAAAACTAGCCTATCACAGTCATCCACCGCCACCGGCCCATACACACCAGAGAAGATCCAAGAGAAACCCTCCTCCATCTTGAAGACACAAGACAGAGAAAAGTGCCCCTTACAAACATCCACCTTTGCCATCCATCTCCTATCCCACATGAGAAGAATGCCTCCAAAAGTCCCTACTGAATTTAGGGTCACCCACTCCACGAACCTATTTCCCCAAAGACTCTTAACCCCACGGTCAGTCATAGATTCAATCTTTGATTCCTAGAGACACACCAAATGGACCCCCCATTTTCTCACTGCCATTTTCACCACCTTCCTCTTGCCCGGGTCATTGAGACCACGAACATTCCAAAATAAGATTCGTAGCTTCATGGAAAGTCAAAATCACCCACCTCCCCCAAACCCCTCCCTCCCTCCCTCCTTATCACACCCTCTTTCCACCTCTCCCACAAGCTTCCTATCGTAGTTCACATCAGAACACAGATTTCTCAGCTCCCTCTCCCCTCTCCAAGGAGACTGAATCTTCTTTTTTCTATTCCTCCTTCTAGAAAACTCGATCATCTCCCCTTCCTTCCCCTCCACCGTGGCCTGAAGAATTGCTAAGGCCTGATCCCGATTATCATTACAAGAGACCCCCAAGAATTCACTGGTGACCCCGATATTAGCCAAAACCCACTCCTTGCCTAAGTCACCACACTCCTGCTTATCAACATCGCAATCCAAACCCTCCGAACGCACAACCGCCAGAGGGTCAACAATCCCCAAATTAGAGTGACACTCCTCCCACAAAATCATGTTAAGAGACCCACCCTGGTCTTCCCCACTCCCTCCCTCCCTCCCTCATCTCCTTCCTCAGTCTCCTCAGCCTCGTCAAAACAAGACTTCCAGTCCTTAGAGCTGTCCACCCCACCTTCATGAACCACAGTGAAAGGATCTGCATCAACCTTAGGCAAATCGTTCTGGTGCCTGTGTTTCTGCAATTCCTTAATCAACAGAGAAGCTGCATCATCACTGAGGGTTATGCGAAAGTCTTTGCCCACACAAACTGTCAACAAATCTGTCACATCAGTCTCAGATGACACCAGAGCATCACCCATTGGTGAACGCAACCCCAACTGAGGCTCAGACAGCCCACTCAAATCATACTCAGAAGAGCCAAACTGAGAGGAAGTAAAATCAGAACAAGGACAGGAGGGGTCATGCCCATCACAACAATCAATACCCTCATCCACAAACAAATTGACCGTCCCATCCCTTTCTGACGGTCCAAAATCCCCACACCCAGAAACATCCGTGCCCAACAATTCGACAACGGAATCCACCTCCATCACTGGTGACAACAACCGAGGCTTCCCATCACGAGCCTCTGCCAGCTCCCTCCTCATCACCCCACGAGAAGGAGAAGAGACAGAAGAGGGAGCAGAGAGAGAATACCAAGAGGAAGATGAGTGGTTCGTACCAAGTTTTGGGGCTGCCTTTCGGGCGACCCATTTTTGCTTGTCATTCCTTGTCCATCTTTTGCCAGACTAATGCGACATACCCGAAGAAAAGCCGCCTCTTTGATGGAGTCACAGCTGCGAGTATCATCCTCACAAAAAGAACCTGACTGAAGCAACCCAAATCTGTTATCAGAGAGCAGATTCTGACAACACTCACCATGCCTAAACGTCTTCGATCTCAGTCCAGTACCCGTCATCATGTTCGAACTCACGTTTGCGCAATTCTCCTTTTCCGCTTGTGACCAGTGTCTCAAATCTTCCTTCGGTTGTGCCGAGTCAAGGAGTCTGTGAGAATCACATCTAGAAGCTAATCCAGGAGATGGGCTGGGCTACAGCCCAGTGATGGAAATAGACAACAAACAACTTTAGTTTTGGAGTGTGTGGGCTTAGCAAGAGAAGACCGAGAAGGAAAAGAAGGCTTTAAAATCTTCGGACTAACCTGTCTAGCCCCGTTCATGGCCCACGATCCTTCATGTCCAAACCCAGAAAAAGATGATGACCCAACCAAATTGGGCCTAAAATGCCCAACCCTGCCATCAGCCCTCAAAGCAACCTTCGCAAGCCCATGTTGGGTAGGCCCACTCCTACCAAGCCCATCAGAAGGAGAATTCAAATTTCCAAACGCCTCGCGTGCCAAGTCATGTGGACCATTAGCTGGCTTCCACCTATAACGGGGGGTAGCCGTCCTCCAACCACGTGTCCCTCTGGCCATATTCTCCTTCCCACTCGCCACCAGTGCGTGAGTCTTCACTCGTCCCTGACCTTGCATCCGACTACCTGGAAAATCTTTCCAGTGAATCGCCGGTTCACACCCAACTCCGATTCCCGATCTGCGGGACGATCGTGCCCCTCTATCCGTCGCCTCCAAAGGTTTCAAATGTTAGATCCGGCCTTGGAGATTGGCTCGAGAGAAGGGGCGATTTCCTCTGTGAGAGAGATGCGAAAGGCCCACTGACTGTCCTCCACGATAATGGACTCCGGGATCACACCACCTTCACTCATAGTGATGACGATCCTCTCCGTATTGCTCATCTCATACACCTCGACGTCCCGGAAGCCACCACAAAGATGCCCAACAGCAACAAAGAGTTTCTAACACCATAGGTGAAGAGGAAGCCTATGTACGATGATTCTCCGGCGGTTGTCCTTCTTTCTTAACCCAAAGCACCCAACAATGTAAAACCAGTAGTCAATGTACAACTGTGCATCTCCCCATGATTTCTTTCCGTAATCGAGAACCTTCACAGCCTCCATGACCGACGGGAAGCGAAACAGTAAAAGCCCATCGGGCTAAGTAGAAACCCTAACACTAGCCAAGATCAACCAAGTCCTCATAGCCCACTCTTCAATATTTTCAAGAGTCCCCACCTCTTTATCAAATCTCCCAACAAGACAAACCCTAAGCGTACGTTCGCGAGAAGAAGTGCTGTAATTGTCCACCCTAAACACATAATCACTGGAAGAAGAGAAGCACTCCACCTCACCTTTCATATCCAGACAAGGAAGACTAGCGACCTCCAAAAATGACGGCCTCTAACCGTCGAGAGCTCTCATGAAAGCAACCGAAAAAACCTCGATCCACCACAAACACCTAAACCAATAGAGAAAGAGAAACGTGAAGGAAAGTAACAGAAGATTTCACCGGAGTTTATGACTCTGGTGACTGGTCGGAGTAGTGGACACCGGCCGCATCTCTGCTACGACTTCATGGATGTTTTGAGTTCAGACATTTGTAGTTTGATTAATCCTTCCTTTTCCCTCCACTTTCATAAACAAATACACATGTTAGACTATCCTTTCATCTCATTTCCTTTTGATATCATTATCTATTGACATCATAAACATGTGAAAAAGAAGTAAACTATGTGGGAATTGTCATATGTTAGGTGATTACTTGGTGCAATGATATAAACTCATTACCAGGTACTAACACTAACGTCTGAGGTTAGATCTCCACCCCTCCTAGCACCATACATTGACAAGGTCAACACCAGCCAATAACCTTTAACTATCATGTGTGGTTATTTATTTCAATTTCTAGTGTTTTGTGTCAAATGTCTGAATATTCCATAAATGAATGATAAATGCTACTGTAAACGATTGTACATTGCCTTTTACCCCGGTCAAAGTTTAAAATGTAGGACTGGTGCCAACAGTTCATCACAGACACTCTGCGTATAACAGCAAGAGAGTTGGTCTCCCTTCGAAGTGGAACATTCATGTCATTAGCTACTATTGTTCATTTTCATTTTTTGAATAATAAAGTAATGTCCATTATGGGAATAACGAGCATTCTAATTATTAAATATTCTAGAAATCATTATCATCATCATCCTTACCTTTATCCCATATTATACGGGTCTATAATGTATGTGTCCAAGCCATCTAAACCCACTTTCTTTTGTTTTATCACTAATAGGCATCACTCCTAATTTTTCTCTTACAGGCTTACACATTGGTTATTAACCCCAATTTTTTCTAGTCAATCCTATCGTCCATCTCACCATTCTCATTTTAGATTCTGTTTCTTTTTTAACGCCCTTTCCTCTGTATAAGATAACTGGTCTAATAATCATCCTACAAAGTTTTCTTTTTTTAACTTATTTGATATTTGTTTACCACATAGAATACCACTAGCATGTCTTCATTTTGTCCAACCTACTCCAATCTTACTCATCACATTATCATCTTTCTCCCTATTCTTTCCTATTAATAATCCTAAACACCAAAATGGTTATTTTGAGTAATCCTTTTGTCTTGAATTGTTATAATGTTAAAAACACAAAAGTGGTGGTAAAGAACAGTGGCAGCAAGTAAAGGACAGTGGCAGCAGCCTTTTAAAATGTATAAAAGGCGTGGGAAATTATTCTAGAGCTCAAGCCTTGATTTGGCACATGTTAGGTGAAGTGGGGTCCACTTGCAGTCTTTCATAATTGGGGGGATTAGGTCAAAACTGAATAATTATGGTAACTAACGTCAATTAGTAGCAATTACTTTTATTATGTTAGAGTCAAATATTGATTACCTCAATTATGGGGTAATCCTAGAGTCAAATATTGATTACCTCAATTATGGGGTGATTTCTTTTATTATGCTAGAGTCAACTTTTGATTACCTCAGTTATAGGGTAATCCAAGGGTCATAAGTTGCTATAAGAAGGGTATGATGTAAACTTGGTGAGGCAGCGAATGAATGAATAAAAAAAGTCTTTGAGAATTCTTTTTGAGTGATTCACAAGATATGAGGGTGTGAGGCCTTCTCTAGGTGTGATTCCTAGGCCATGTTGGAGTGATTCCAATAAGTTTTTGTTTTCTATTGGTGTGATGCCAATAGGTTTTTTTTGTTATTTTCAGTCCTTTCCCTCTACTAACACTTCCTGAACCCCAATGCTGTTTATTAGAATTTTCAGCCAATAAACTCCTTTTTATTTCAACTATTTGAGGCTATCCTTGTCCTACATCAAGTGGCAATCATGAAATAGAAACATACTGGTTGTCTGCATTACAATTTGTTGTTAGCCAAAATCGATTCATAAGACATGCACTACTTTTGTCACTATATCATGTTTAATGCTTAACTTTTTCGCATTTAAGATGATTAAAAATTCAAAAGGACAATATACTAAATTAATACAATCTGAGACATTTACAGGATATCCATACATTAGCTAGCAAAATATATATAAGTGCAAAGAGGTGTGCATGTTATATAAGAAGCCTATGAATAAATTATTTAAAATTCATACGGAGACGAGGTGCAGCACAACGCAGCTTTGTGAAAGGAACATCATCCAAGCGTGCCCACGAGCAATCCACAACAGCTAATCCTTTCCTCTTCATTAAGACATAATCTTCCTTTGAGACACATTGCTTCCCAGCAGGACTGAAAATATGGAGAACACATAAAATAGTAAATATGTGTGTGTGTGGACTAATTAAAAACCAGAACATAAACATATGGGTGCTTATGTATAGCACTTTCCATGAAAAGCGATGTAAACCAATTAAGTTTGTATGAGAACTATAGACCGCTTGGTACAGGTAATAAGAAGAACAGTGTAAAGTTAATTGATCTGTAGCTCAACCAGTTCCCTTCACCAGGGAAAGCAATAAAGGCTAACTAAAATGGATGCCTTCACTGACTGATCACACTCTTCCGAGCACAGTTATATGAAGGAGGCAGGCAGATTGAAAAAGTTCCAGTTTTATCAAGCTATTATAGGATTATAGAGTTCATCATATGACATGTTACGGACTATCCAACTTGAAGACGGGAAGAAAGTAATGTTTTCTTTTTAAAACGGATCAGAATACCTAGTTGGTATCCAAGAATGGCAAAGATATCCATTTCGTTACTGTTAACATAAAAGAAACAACAGTTTCCATGATGACCACAAACGTATAATGGCACAATTTTCAAATGAATTCTGTGTTAATACCTCAAAACAATGCCTCCAAAACCATTACTGACGCGCAACTCCTGCATGAGAATGTTTAGTCATCATTAATGGTTAAAACAAATAACATGCAAAAACGAGTGAGCTGCATAAATTATTGGCCTAGTGCAAAAATGGTAGACTGATGTTTATAGTCTACACAAGTTGGTGCAAAACAAGAATCTTGATTATCACAACTCAAATCAACCCAAATTAGTTATACATCATTAATTTGCAAAAACGTTTCAGACTCAATAACCAAAGGGCAAAGGCAGCTGGCATCTTAGTCAATTAAATCAAGCACTGTAATCAACTTTGAATTAGGTTGATAAAGTATTTTCTAATGTCTTGAGATACTTGGACATTTATAGAATATCAAATAAAGGTTGCTGCCGTCTGATATACATTGACTAAGACGTCTAAAGGGACCATAACAGCAAAATAATTTCCCGAAGTGCACAGCCGATGATGAAAAGCTTAGGCATGGAATCAGACTGCACATCCTTTGGACAGGGTCAAAATACTCACTTTTAACAATCCCATGGGGAGTTATTTTTGAAATGTCATCAGTGGACTAAAATGGTGGTCTAGGCCACCAGAAAGTTCGAGACACTTTCAAAGAGGCCGTTTTTTTTCTTTCCCCGAGTAAAACTTTCATAGAACAAAACTGCAATTACACAATAGAGCAATGTGAGGGTAGGGCATACCCTCACTATAAAAAGGGCCAATAAGCCCGAGAAACTGGCTACTACAAACGGCATTATTGACACAAAACATAATACAGAGTATTACCATCATATTCTTACATATCCTGCAAATCTCATGCTGATTCCTCCTTCCCATCTTATACCTGCTAACTCTCAAAGAGGTCTTTATCTCTTGAGAGAGTGGACTGTAACTTCTACAGGATTCTAAGATCAACAAATTCCACAGCCAGGAGCAATTCAGACTTACAAGCGTCCTTTGAGGAGTACGGCCCCCTCATCGTTCTAAATTAATTTGTTGATCTCCCTTTAACAAAATATATTCCTCCTTTACATAGTCATTGCTATTAAGAGACCCATGCTTCTTGGTTGAAATTAGGACAAATGCCTTTGATTTAAAAATTTCCTCAGAATAGACATAGCAAAATCCCATATTCTATATACCAGGAGTAATTTAATAACTTTTAATAATCATAAAATTTGAAATGATAATGAGGACAAATAAAATAATAGACATCTAATCTATTTTTTTCCTAGTTGATACACCCCCCACAAGGAATTGTTTGCACAAAAGAGGAGTCGAATCTCAAACGTGATGCTTCACGAGGCACCATGGCCAAGTTAGTTACCCACTTGAGCCAACCCCTTGGGGTTAATAGACATCTCATCTCCATCTTGCTCTGAGGAAAAAAAAAAAAAAAAGAGAGAGAGAGAGAGAGCTGTTGATTCTTTCTGTGCCAGCCGAACACTCCAATTACTATAAAAAGATATAGGCTTATAGCTCATAATTTGATTTTGCTCATTTCATTATTAGCAATATCTGATAGACATAATAAGATTGCTCTTGCATAAAAATAAGAAAATTGCTGCATTTGTGCTGAAAATAGGATAAGAATGTTCTATCAGCCTGGACAAGAAAAGAGGAATCTAGACATTTCTAATACATTACAATCAAAACATGCATGTTAAACAGATACTTTCTTTCAACAAACCAAATCTTGCAAGCTTGCGCCCTGTACACCTTTTCGCATCACATTGCCCAAAATCCTGAACCAAAATAACAGCACCAATTAGATGAATAATCACAAGTTAAAAAAGTATACAAAACAGAATTAAAGATCTAAGTTTCTGTATGAGGTTTGATCCTCCTTAACATTAACAAAAGGCAAAGTGCACAATCTTATAACTTCTGTAATTTATATATGTATATGTACATATGTATATATATATATATATATATGATCTTTGTCAAGATAGAAAACCTTCTAAATTTTCTCCCTATTACTTTGGACTTCATGTGCATACTTGTCAATTTAAGAGGAAGAACAACAATTAATATTTGTCGCATTCATTGAAAAAGGTGAAGAATCAGTAATTGTACATGTCTTGAATTTCTATCAAACACAAAAAGTGAACAATGGCCGTAAAGATGGGCAACAATTACCAAAGACTTGTGCAATTAAATTACTAATTGGATTTTTTGAAATTAAGTGAAAATACCCAAAAAAAAAAAAAAGAACAGCCAAAAAGAAGAAAATTTTCATTTATGCAAGTTGCAACTGCAATAAACCACAACCATGCTTTGGAACACACACAAATTCATTCTGACTTGATGACCAAATAATTCAGAGATGATTCAACTTTATTCCTTTACCCAACTACAAAATACACAAATACATACATACCCACATTGCAAGCTGAATTTTAGGAACCGTTGGCTCATCTTCAGCTTCTGCAATAAAAGGAAACTTGTCAGGAGGCGTAACATCAAAACAGCCTTCCACAGACGCATTATATCAAACACCTTTAACACATCCATATATACATAAATACACACAGTACACATATATACATAAACGTGATGAAGTTGATACCTGGTTCGATTGGGAGAGACTCATCGTCCCTGAAAAATTAGAAAGTGACCAGTGATTATTAACACATCAGACGCTAAAATTGAAGAGCATGGAGTTGAATTAAGATTGAACAGGAAAATGGGTTACCCAGAAACTTGATGGGTGCGACTGGATTGAGCTCGATGCGATTGTTGGTTTCTGTATCGCCTTGGCTTGTTGTGACCCATTTTTGGGTGAAGGTTGAGACGAGCGAGAACAAAGTGTGACTGTGTTTGGAATAGCCTTTGGCTGTTGTGCGCAAAATTTATAGGTTGCCCTTTGTGTTTTCACTACCGTGCGCCGATAGAGATGGTTGAGGCTTTTCAGTTTTAGGCCGACTTTGACGCACTAATAAAAGCATAAATTTTTTTTCAATTTTACTTGGGCAAAAACATATACTTACAAACACTTTTTGCCCACGGCCAATTCGAACTCTTCCTCAAATACGATGGAAAAATTATAGCATTAAGCTACATTTTGACATAAAAGTTTAAATTAATAAATTAATAAAATTGCACTAAATAAAACTAATCAAATGTCTGCTGCAAAAATATTTTGCTTAATGCTGCTGATGTTTGGTTAAATTAGTTTGCAGGACATTGTGGAAGGGTCTCAAATTGCAAAGTGGATTGGATTAAGAAGAAGATTAGTATGGTGTATGGACTCGATTAAGAGAAACAGTAATATTACATATGGATCGGGTTATGAACTTATGTACAGTGGTAATATTTTTAAAAAAAGGTTTCGACTTGGGCCAAGGTTAGCCCTTAAGTAACTCTGCCCTTAGGCGAATTGCAAAAGACTTCCCTCAACTTGAAACATTTCTTTTGAAGTTTTTGCCACTAAACCCCTAGGGATGGCAACGGGGCGGGTTTGGAGTGGATTTCCCTAAATCCCACCCCGACCCATTTAATTTTTGTTAAGTCAATGCCCGCCCCGCGACCCGCGACGGGTTAAATTTTCATATCCAACCCCGCCCCGTTGAAAAATATTGTGCCCCGTGCCCGCCCCGCTAACAAATTTTTTTCTCTCACTTTTTGGGACTTAAACTGCTGCTATTTAAAATGTGGAAAGCCTGGGAATAACACAACATAAATGAAATTATCAATCCCAACAAAAAAAATAAAATAAAATAACATGCACATAAGATAATTCAAAGAACATAATCAACAAAAATAAAAGTTTAATATAATAAAATCACAAGAAATTCTAAGCTCCAACTTCCACCATAACCAAAACAAAAGTAAACTTAATACCAAGTTTACATCCCAAATAAGTTATTAATATTATATATATATATATATATATATATATATATTAAATATAGTTATATGTTTAGCGAGGCTGGTGGGGGCAGGGCCCCGGCGGATATGTATACTGAACCATTACCCGCCCCGTGACTCGCAACAGGTACAAAATTTGTATCAATGCCCGCCCCAACGGTATAAAAGATGTTCCCATGTCTGTTATTAACGGGGTAGGACGGGCCAGGGCCCCGACGGGGCAGTAAAAATTGACAACCCTATAAACCCCTCTCAACTTAACTCGGGCTATGAATTGATATACAGTAGTAATAAAATAAATAAATAAATAAAAACTTAACTCAGGAAGTGCTAGCTATATTTTGAGACAAGAATGCCCTTGCCTTTCTATTGCTCCACGGACTCTTTCTTTACTCAGCTAATTATCTTCTTTGGTGGTTAACTTATTTTATAATTATACATCATTATATTATTATTATTACAACAAAAACTCAAGGAGTGAAGTATTCACAATAAAAACTAGGGGTCCAACTTGGGCGGGCTAGCCCAACCTAACCCGAATCCAGCCCATAAATTTTAAAATTTGGACATTATTTTACAATTCGGGCTTAAGTCGAGATGGGTTTTATCAAAACCCAACCTTATTCGATTTGGGCTGGGTTCAATCCAAACCTAACCCGAAAGCCCAAATTAAACATTTCATGCCAACACAACCCAACTTAGCAGCAAATCTGAATCATCTAATCCACGATAAACACAAACTCTAACTTTCTCTCTCCTCATCCTTCTCTTTGATCTCTTTTTATATCGCCTTCTTACCGATCTCCCGTGAAAGTCGAAACGAGCAGCGAAGCTCGCAACCTACCGGTGACTCTCTCTATCTCACATCTCTCAGCGACTCCCTCGCCTCAAACGCCGCTCTCGCCACCAGAGAATAGGTTTTCTTTAAATTCACAATCTTTCCCTATCTGGGTCTTCGATTCTCAATGCAATTATCATTTTACACATATATATGTTGTTCAATTTATGTAGATCTTTGAATTTTGATCAAGTTTTTTTTCTTTGGTTCATTTGATTTGAGCCTTTTCCTTTGTTCCAATACTAGGGTTTTTTGTGTGTATGTGTCACTGTGTGTGATGCCTATCTAGTGGGTTGAGATAATAATTAACTTTTCTGATCTTTAAATTATGCTCAATATTTAAAAGTGCCAAATTAATGGTTTTTTAAAATTTTATTTCTATATGAAGATACATACCACCATTATTGATCTTATTTGAAAAATATAGTAGGCAATTTGGTGACTTTTAAATGTTCTCTTCATTTTTTCTTTAGTAAATTGTTCTCTTCATTTTTTCTCTAGTAAACTGTTCTCTTCATTTTTTTCTTTTTTATTTTGTGTAATATATTTATTATTTAGGCTTTTGCAGCGAGCATTTCTTGAAGATGTTAGACATGGAAGAAAGTGGATATGAAACCCAACCAACTTCAAACTCTTCAACTTGTTTTGAGGAAAATTATTTAAAAAGGAAAAAACCCTATAAGACTACATCTTTTGTTTGGGACCCTATTACAAGAGAAATGTTGGAGGACAGATCATACATGAAAGCCACATGTAATTATTGTCACAAAACATATAATTGTCTGCGTAGTCATGGTACTACTACCCTTAGTAGGCACCTTAGTAGGTTTCATGATTATCCTTATAATAAGGATAAAGTCAAAAAATTCTCAGCATCAACCCAAAACCAAGATCCGAATTGGACATTTGACCAAGATGTTCTTCGCAAAGAGCTTGCTAGGATGATTATTGTTGATGGATTGCCATTTAGTTTTATGGCAAATAAGGGTTTTAAAAGGTTTATGAGTTATGCAGAATCAAGATTCCATATGATTTCACGAACCACAATTACAAAGGACTGTATTGAATTGTACTTGAGTGAAAGAAATAAGTTGGAGACACTTTTTGAACTTTCTGCTTCACGTGTGTGTCTTACTACCGATTTATGAACTTCTATTCAAAACCTTGGGTGCATATGCCTTACGGCTCATTTTATTGATAAAGATTGGAAGTCACACAAGAAAATTATAAATTTGTGTGTATTTCCAACTCCACATCGTGGAGAGGCTATTGCACAAGCCGTGGAAACATGTTTATTAAGTTGGGGTCTTGAAAAAATGTGCACTATCACCGTAGATAATGCAAGTTCAAATGACACGGCGGCAACAAAGTTGGCACATAAGTTAAATAAAAGAAATGAATTGTTGCTGAATTAGGAATTATTTCATGTGAGGTGTTTTGCACATATGTTGAACCTTATTGTGAATGATGGAATAAATGAGGTAAAAAAGTCCATCCTTCGTATTCATGAGTTTGTGAAATATGTAAGGAGTTCTCCTTCAAGATTACAAGCATTCAAAAAATGCGTTGAGGAGGAAAGAATTTAGAGTTTAAAGTCTTTATGTTTGGATGTTCCTACTAGATGGAACTCAACATATCTAATGTTGAAATCAACCATTGATTTTCAAAAGGCACTTGAACGTTTGGCAGAGCAAAATCCTAGTTTGGGATTATGTTTGGTAGAACAAGATACAAGTTTGGAAGTTTCTGAGGAGCCGATGAGTGATGAAGATTGGTTGAAGATAAGGGATCTTTCTAAATTTTTAGAGTACTTCTACAATATCACAAAAGCGCATATCAGGGTCCAAATATATTACCTGCAATAAATACTTTCGTGAAGTGTTTGGAGTGCAAACTATCCTCTTAAGATAGACAAAAAGTGAGGATTTGCGTTTTAGAGAAATGGCTATTAAGATGAATGCCAAATTTGAGAAGTATTGTAATATTCAAAAATTTGATTTAATCTTGATTATTGCTGTGGTTTTAGATCCATGTTTAAAGATGAAGTATGTGAAGTTTTGTTACAATAAATTATATTCATCGGAAGAGGTGGATGAGATCATTGGAAAGGTGAAGAGTTTGATGGAAAGGCTTTTCAAACACTACAAGATTTGGGTGAAAGATGGTGTAGATTATTTTGGTAGAAGTTGTGTTGAAGTAAATGAATGGATGTGAGAGAAGCTATGGGGTCATTAAAGCTATTGAATTCTCTTTTTGATGGGTTTTGGAGGCAAAACAAGCACTTAATTGTTAATATTGCTCTCGAAGGCAAAACACTAAAACCCCAAAGCACATTTTTCTAATTATCCTTTTTCTACTACACTGATGATTTTGATGTTGCAGGCTAATAATTCACGTTTTATATTATTATTACTTATGGTAAATCTGCATATTTTTTTGCTGAGGATATATATTAGTATATATGTACAAGTAACTACTGCTAATTCTTGTATAATTACCCTTTTGCTTATCCATATATGTATAATAGGAGAATCTTACATACTTTTAATTTGCATTTTGTAGGAATTGCTGATGGTTTTGAAGGTTAACCATTCCGTGAATAGTTAGCAATTGAAAAAAGAAGTTCAGCATTAGATATCTATCTTGCTCTGTGTTGGGTTGGCTTGTGGTGCTTTAATGTTTCTCTTTATGAGATTATGTGGAGCTTGGGCAATAACATATGGTTATTTGGTTTATTGGAATGGTTAAATGCCAAATTTCTTTCTTTTGATAGCATCTTTAGAAATGAACATGAACAACCACATTTGCTGGACAATTTATGTGATGTTTGCATATTGTTGTTGTTTTGGTTTGAATAATATTAGACGAAATTAAGCTTGGTAATGTTATTGATTGTTGTTCAAAGAGTACTATATCGTTGTTGTTCTTATAGTGATATTTGTATATATATATACACAAATGTGTATGTATATATATATGTATATGTATATGTATGTATATTGAAAACATTCCACCATTGACTAGCAGGGGTTTAAAATCTTCTATGGCCTTCTGAAAGGCTATGACTATGTTTGCATCGGACTCATTCATAGAAAACTTGTGGAATATTCCTAGGAATTAAGCAGTCTTTCTAGGGTTCAGTGATTGTTTTTTCTAGGAAAATTAGTGAAATCTTTAGCAATTTTCTTTTACCCCTAGTGTTACTGGTTGGGATT